AAACGAATCTAATATTTTATTATGTGATTCTTCACTTATAATATATATAAAGAATCTTCACAAAAAAAAGAGTTTTTCAATTTTTTAAATGACCATAAATATCTTACTGTTAAATGAGGGTCCGCTCTGATTTCCATACCCCATATATCTCAAAGCCACTACACTAATAAGAACCTCCCCAAGATGACAACGCCCACAACAATCCAAACAAACCATTGGCACCATGATAGTTTTAAACAGGAAATCAATGATTTAATAAATGCCATAATATATAGTTTGCAAGGCTTACCTTAAAAGTTAATTATGAACCAATAATTTTAAAATACAAAACACTATAAAGGGATTTTGACGCATAGATGAAAAGTGATGCTAATATATTTATTGGTAATGCAATATTGGTTCCTCCTTGGCAAGAGGAGGGACAAGGAAATGAGCGAAGCTGAAGACAACGCGTGGAAGATTCTATGTCAGGTGATCCAGGAAAGGGTAAATTCAAAGGGATGATACTGATATTGGACGTTTCATGTTGCAGAAAAGACACGAGAGGGAAACATAGCATGCAAACCCTAAAAGCTAAGACCGCCTAGCTGCTACTTGCTTCAGCCTTTCATGCCGGTTATCAAATTAAATGTTGAAAACAACGTTCATGACCACTATGCTATTTGAAATTTCAAACCAAATGTTAATGTGGTAGCTTCAGAATTCAGTCGTCTGCCAATAATGATGATCATTTCATTTTTTTTATTTAATTATAATAGGTGTTTGAAATATCTCTGATAACAGATTCTCTTGTCGTTAAAATTTTATATGCATATATATATATATACATACATATAAAAAAATAATATTACATAATTAATTTTTTAATTTTATTTAAAATAATATAAACAAAAAGCTTAATTAAAGAACTTATATATATATATATATATATATATATATATACATGTACAAATGTAATATAGCTTGCTCAGTTTAAGCATATACAACTGGCCTTATATATGTAAGTACATATCTGTAGCAAAAGTACTTATTAGTATCAAATGTCACAGCAAGTTTACTCGTTACTACCAAAGGTTAAAAATTTTCTTAATAAGGTCACTTTCTGATGGCCAAATTAATATACAAAACCAATGCAGTGCTCAAAGCAGAGTAGTATTGCTTGTGTCGGTTAGCAATAATACATGGCTTAGCTGCTTTCGCCATTTTGATTTCGTAATTGATTATTCATATACAATATTGTTCTCGTTCTTGATCCTGTTTTGAGGAGGAAACAAATATGTGGTTGACGGAAAAATAAAGCCTAAGTTTTGCATGACTTATCAATTGTCAGTTTAGGAGGAGGAAGTAAATATGTGGTTAACTCTAAGCCGTTGAACTATGTTCCCAGCATCCAAAACTTAGCCATTCCAGCAAGGAAAAAGCATGGTAGGAAAAGCACTGAATGGTCTCTCCCTCCTAAAGGAGTTTGGAAAATAAATGTTGATGGATTAGCTCCTGGTAAGCCTGGTCCTGCTGGAGTTGGAGGTGTCATTCGCAACTGGATAGGGGAAGTAATTTTAGTGTTCTCCAAGAACGTTGGCGTTAAGGATTCGAATCTGGCTGAGCTACTGGCTGTTTTTGAAGTTCTTACTATTATGGTTAATGCCAATATAGACCAGCTTCCAGACATCATCGTAGAAAACGATTCCAAAGTCGTCACAGCTTGGCTCAACAAAGTAAGTGACTGCCCCTGAAAGTATAATAATCTACTGAGCAGGTTGCTTAACCATTTTGCTAGGATTAAGAATATTTCTTTCATCCATGTTTTTATAGAAGTTAATTACTTCCCGTACTCTCTTGCTAAGATGGGAGAGCATCGAACTTGTGATTTTGTAGCATGGCTGTAATAGCTAGTTGATTATTAATAAAATCTTATATTTACTTTTCAAAAAAAAAAATTTGTCAGTTGTCATCTGGGATAGGATCTTAGAACGTATGGAAGGTCTCCTTCATATCAGAAAAACATTAAGAGGTTGGTTGCAAGAGTCAACAGAAACCAGTACCTCTATCCTTGGCTCGATTCAACTTGATTAGATAACTTATATATATAAAAGATTCTAGAATTTCAAACCAATACCTCAATCCTTGGTTCGATTCAACTTGATTACTTATTTATATAAATTTATCATTCATTTAAACTCGGGGTTTTCTTAATATTATTATACATTAAATTTTTAATTTTAACAATCAAATTTTAAATTTTGACATTTTCAAATACAATAAAAAATAAATTTATTTTTGTTGACTATCTCTTGGATAAGTGCAGGAAAATTTAAGGGTAAATTAAAAATTCAAAAAAGAAACTTATTTTTTCAACAAAATATTATATATATATATATATATATATATATATATATATATACAGATACTTACCATTATATATTCAAGCAATCAAGAGTCTTCATGTCTAAAATTTACGTATGGTTCTTTATTCTTTAGGGTCGTAGAATATTATTTTATGAAGTGAAAAAAAAATCATTTATTATATTAGAGGGATATATCTAGATATTGTAGTTTAGGTCCTCGAAAGAAAATTTCTATTTCTTGGGCTTCAAATGGTCGGTCCATTGCAACCAAACGCAAATGAAAAGCACCCCAATCACCCAATTCAGGCTTAAACTTTCTCATTTTCGTTTGACCCATTGAGCCTGAAGGCAGAAAAGCACGACAAAGATGATCAATTTCGGCCTTTTTCTAAGCCCAAAATGAAACCCAAAAATCAAAATTTCCAGGCATGGGCCCAGAACTCAAGCTTCTATGGTCCACCATGGCTCCTCCATAGATATTCATTTAGTTTGTACTGCATATGTACTACTAACTAAACCTAAATAGCACTGTCATAACATCTAGATCCGGGGATTTATCGCTAGACATTGACTTTTGGGAGTCGCCACCAATCTTTTTTATCTAGGTGCGATTGGCCACCTAAAGAATCTGTCCTTTTAGGGAACACCTAAGTTTAAGGGCCCCTAAAAGAATAGGTTCAGGTCTACAAACCAGAATAGAGTTCGAGAGTTCGGTTACGTGTGAAAAAGGTTATAGCACCCTCACAACGCCCATCAAAAGATGGTACCAGCTTAAATTTGTGTTATCCAAAAAGCCTTAAAATTTTACCAAGTAGTTAATTGTTGTAAATTATTCTCAATTGACTCTAATACTTTTAGCAGAAAATTGAGAAAATTTTCTCACCTCAAGAGTATGCAAGAAACTACTGTTTCACTCGCAGAAGCTCCGTCGTCGGATTGTTTAAAGAAAAATCAAAATCAAAATCAAAATAGGAAGGAAAGAAAGAATGATTGTTCTTGCGTAGGAAAAATTGATACTTTCAACTTTTTCCCGAAAATATTTTTTTGAAAATTTTGATTTTCAAGGAAAATTGATACTTTCAACTTCTCCCTAAAAATATTTTTTTTTGAAAATTTTGATTTTCAAGGAAAATTGATACTTTCAACTTTTCCTCAAAAACCCTTTTTTTGGAAATTTATTTTTTTAAGAAAAATTGATACTTTCAACTTTTTCCCAAAAATATTTTTTTTTGGAAATTTTGATTTTTATTTAAAGAAAATAGAATAAATAAAAAAATAAATAAATAAATAAATAAATAAAAGTAAAACAAAAATAAAAATAAAATAAAGATAAAAAGAATATTAAATAAACCTAATCTAATAAATAAAAAATAAAAAAAACAAATAAACAAAGAAATGAAAATAAAAAAAAATTCAAAAAAAAAAAACCTGGAGCGGCTCAGATCGCGGCTCGGCTCGGCTCAAGGAAGAGAAAACGGCTCGAGGGGTGGCTTGGGAAGCTCGGTTCGGCTTGGCTCGGAGGGGGGCAGGCACGCACGGGTCAGAAGCGGGTCGACGCTCGGGTCGGGTCGGGTTTCGGTAAAACACGCGGATCCTCTGGTTACTTAAGGCCAAAACGACGTCGTTTTGAGAGGGTATAAAAGGCACTTTCCTTTGTTTTTCGGCAGAACGTTCCTCCCTCTCTCTCTCTTCTTCCTTTTTCCTCTCCTCTCTCTCTAAAGGGCCTGAAGAACACCGGTGAAATTTTCGTCGGATTCTGAAAAAAGTCAATGGAATCTGGAAAATTCGTCGGAGGTTCGCCGAAAGTTTGCCGGAAGATCACCGGTTTCTGGGATTGTTCGTCGGGAACTGGGCAGGTCGTCGGAAACTTCAAGGTTCGCCGGAATTGTTGCCGAAAAATGCAAATGTCACCGAAATTTTCGTCGGAATCTGGAAATTTCCCAGAAATTTCCAGAAAAATTTTTCGTCAAAAATTTCTAAAAAATTATTTTCGATCCCTACAGCTATCCTAACTCTTCTCAACCTTCTTTAGCCTTCGAAAACTCTTCTATACACATCTTTTCTCTCAAATTCAGTAGCTTTGCTCACTGTTTTCTCTGTGTGTCTTCATCTGTTCCAAGAGGTGCCTTTTATAGTGATTGATCAGGAGTTCCTGATCAATCCCAATTCCTCCTTGGACGGGGGATTCAATCTTTGAATCCAATTGGACTCTTCTGATTGAATTCCCTCCACAGTGAGATTCTTCAACTTATAATCCTTAGCCCTCAAAAATAAAAATCAAATAAAAAAAATACATAGATAATTAGAAAGATAAATCAAAAGATTTTATATAAAAAATAAAAAAAATTATCTATAATCGAAAAAAATCAGATAAAAATTGACAGTATTTAAAAATAAAAAACAAAATAAATAAATAACCGCAAAAATATTTACAAAAAAATTTTTATAATATAATAATAAAATATAACTATATAAATAATTAATTCATTTTCTAAAAAAATAAATAAAATACAGATATACATTATTAACAAATAATAATTAATTAAAAATACATAAAATACAAAATAAAATCGAATTGAATACTTGCCTTTTACCCAAACCTAAAGCACCAATCTAGTACTACATCTCCAGCCTTTCCTAGCTCATTTCCTCAATCTCAACTGAAGAAAACATGAAAGTAATAATAATTTTATACCATTTGTTAACTTTGGATGATATACAATTTCCAAGTGTTGATTTGATCTACAACATTGTAGAATTACATGGAGAAGCAACTGTTTCTTGCTTTTCTGGTTACTGTCACTTTGACTGCTGGTGCAGCATTCTTGGAGAAACCAATAGCTTCCCATCTCCTATGAGCAGATGGCCTCGGGAGATTCTCCGGCACAATCGTCTCTAGCGAATTGACACGCCATGGCGGGCACATTCTTTTATCACTCCATCTGGATACACTCGAGCTTGATTCTGTGGCAATTGAGATTTCTTTAGCAATGGCGTTGCTGTCACTTATGTCGACTTGTAATCCAATTACCATGCAGGCTATTCCTAATACACATTGCTTTCTCCATTTATCATCCCTCAGCCTAAAACAAAATGAATTGGACAGAATAAAAGTGTCAATCTTGCATGCTATACAATAATGGATGTATGCTTTTATTTGTTGACTCACCATGCAACTTGGGATGCCTTGGAGTTTGAGGAAGTGTCTAAACCATGAGTTGGAGTCGGAGGGCAGACGTTGAGGCAGCAACTGGTTGAAATGGCCATTTCTCCGCCTCTCTTCCTTGCTCTCCCCCAAAGATATGAGTTCTACTAACAATTATGGCAAAAAGAGAAGGAGTTGATTTAATATTTATCAAGGAGTTGTAACTTGTTACAAAGGGCCGGAGGGTTGTGAGTTCTCGGAGTTGTTGGTGGCCAGACCACGGCAGCTGACAAGGACCCAAAGCTGGCCATTAGTGATTAAGCCACGTGGGTTGGACCCTCCAATCAAGTAACCTTTTTGCTTGCCGTTTGTTTCCTAAGAGACGCGTGCGGGCAACAGTTTCCTCTAGTCGTTGCTCGTTTTACACAACAGCCGACGTTAATAGTGGTAGAGACGTTTAGCTATTGATAATTTAAAATATAATATGATAATATTATATGAATATAATATAAAAATAAAAAATTCAAATTTTTTTTTTAAGTCAGTCGGTGGCATTTTACTTGTTGGTGATTTTTTTTTTCCTTCTAACAGTTTTTAGGTGGAATGTTGATTTTGAAGTGGTAATTTTACTTGTTTGCCCCTTGAATGAAAATAAAATTAAGGGTGATTCATTAGGAGTTAAAATGATACATGGTTCGAGAATATATTTGCTTCCTGTTCTATTGACAATGTTAAAATACCTAGGACATTAGAGAAGCAATAATATTGGTGCCTTGTTTCTGCGATGATATATAATTAATTGAGCATTCAAACTCGTTGCCAAAGATTATTGGATGCGTATAAATCAGCTTAAACTAATAATCACATGAAAAAGTTGCACTTTAAATTCTGTTGTAAGGCATTACTTGTGAATCTACGTAGATTAATGACACAGAAATGGAAGTGAATTGATTAAAGTTACTAATTCATTCTTGTTTTGGTCCCCGTCCACCCCATTGGTATGAGGATGTCCTCTGTCGCATTTTAAATTTACTATCCATGTTAACTAATTAGAGTTTGTGCTTTAAATGATGATAGGATCTCATCCCTTGTTTGTTGACTTTGTTTCTGATGGCAGAATGTTGGTTGTGGCAAATGATGGAGATTGTCGAGCAGTTTTATGTTGCTGGGGCAAAGCAATTGAAATGTCAAGAGATCATAAACCCATTGCAAAAGAGAGAGAAAGCGTTTTGAGGCATCTGGAGGTTTTGTGTATGATGGTTTGTAATATCTCCAATATCATATTGAAAGAATGTATCTCACATTAAAAGAATGTGTGAATAAAAAATAATATATATGTGGAGATTTAAATTTAAAACTTGTGAGACGTTTTTTGTAAGATAAAATCGTGAGATTTTCGGGTCAAAACGAATAATATCTCGTAGGTTGGATGTAAATCTCTACAAATAATATCAGAACAGTTATCAGTCGGTGAGAAGTAAGTGCTACATCGTATTTGTGGAGACCCATACCCTATAATACCCCAGCCCAAATAATGATTGGGCTAGACTAATACTAAAACCCATCAGTTTATTAAGACATTATTTAGTAAAAGAAAAATGGCTGAAGTATTAGATGAAAGAAAACCTAATTATCTTGAAACAGAAAGGAAATAGAGTTCTTCTTCCTCATCTTCCTTAGGGTTAAAGAATATGAAAAATCAAGTCGGAGATTCACAAACAGAGGCTACAATCAAGTTAATCCTTTAAAGGTGGTACATGCCCTCTTTTTATTTAAGAAGAAATATCAAATTGATTGCTATTATTTGGAGTTAAAGTTTTTAGAGAAAAACAAAGAAAAATCATGAAATCCTTTATTAATCTTGATGATCTATTTGGGTAAATTACTGAGCTTTGTTTATTTCATGTTCTTAAGATTTATTAATGATTATTGAATGGAGTTTGTAGGCTGAAAGTAATGATTTGAGTTTTTAAAAATTGAAGGAGAAATTTTATTTTTGGATGAGATGTTGGGATCTGTAATAATGAATTAAAATAAAATTTTGTATTAATTGATAGATTATTGATGTGATTATTATATATCATTGGAAAGCATGTTGAATCTAGTTTATAATGAAACAAACGAAAGTCAAATCCGAGTTTTCTATGAAGAGTTGTCTAATTTTAACTTAAGAATATATAGGCTGTAAGACAACAACATCAAGGTTGAATTACGAAATTCTTCTTAATTTGTATACAAGGATTTACAGATTAAGCCATATATGTTTGAAAAGCTTATTGAGTCTACTTTCCAATGAAACAAGCGAAATTGAATTTGGAGTTTCCTGTGAATAAATATATAGTTTTTATTAGAAGGTATACAGGCTATTTAGTAGCAGTATATGACGTGGATTTCAAAAATTGTTATAATTAATCTACAAGGAATTACGAGGTGTGCCATATATGGTTAGAAAGCTTATCAAGTCTAGTTTCTAATGCATTAAAGAGATCATAATTCTGATTTGGGTATATTGAGATATGACTATTTTAATGAAAAGATGTCAGGCTACCAGTATTAATTAGTTAACACTTGTGTAACTTAATTGATTTTTGTATAAATGGTCTCAAAAAGGGTTAATTAAATTCTAATATGTTGAAATGATCTTGGATAGGCCATTAATTATTTTGAGAGAAAAACTAAATGGTGGAATCAAAAAGAGGTAAGTAGAATCTCACACACTTTACTTGTTTTCAAATCTATGTATATATATATGTTTCTAAATGAAAGAATGTTTTATTTCTTTATTTTGTTATATGAAAATAGGATCAAGCATATGATTATTTTGTGTTTCTCTATATAAATGATGGATCATGCTTATGAATGAAATGAGAAAATGATTTATATTTAAAGAATGATTTTGTGATGGCTACGTTTTTACATCCCTAGTAGTGGGATCATTGATACCAAAACTAGTTCTACGACCCTGGCTAAGGGTAATAATAGTTAGCAAAGACATGACCATATGATCCTGGCTAATGGGTAATAGTAGTTAGCATAAGACCCTGACTAACGGGTTATAATAGTTAGCAATGATCATGATGATGAAATTACCGATACAGCGAATGTCACGGGTTATAGCAGTGATTGTAGCTAACAATAAACCAATAATAATGATGATTTATGATGATTTATGATGATGATGATTTTTAATGATTTTTAATGATTGATCCATGATTTGATTTTATTACGATATTTAAATAGTAATATATTTTACAATGATTTATGAATTTACGAAATATTTGACAGAACGATGATATTGAGGTGTTTTGACATTATGATTTGACGAATATTTTGAATGATCTATATGATATGTATGAAATGATGTTTGATCCGATAAGGTGTGTAAGCCTTTACTTACTGAGCTGTTGTTTGCTCATTGCTTATTTTTTTTTCTTTTACAGATGTTATGATGATAAGCTATGATTAAGCTTGACAAAAAGTTAAAGATTACGCATTGGAGAACTACTTAGCAAATCACTGAGAATTTTAGAAGAATTCTTAATTTATAGTTGTAATACCGACTTTGAACCTTTGGAGACTTGTTATCTAGGCTAGTTACTTAATGACAACCTTTATATTTGAGAGTTGTTCAATGATTATGGATTAAGCTTCGTATTGCTTTGGAATTTTACTTTAAGATAATATGATCGTGTTATGCCTCGATTCGGGGAGTGATATACCAAATCTGCGATATATTATCTGCTTTGACTCAAAAGTTTCATTATTTTATTTTACAAAAGGTGTCTCACAAGTTTGAAATTAGATTTTTTACATATATATCATATCATATCCTCACATTTTTCTATTGTGGGATTGAAGACGTTACAATTTTTCCACTTTTAAGTTTGATATTAGATTTCTTATATATAAATATCATATCATATGCACACATTATTTCAATATAGGATTAGGGGCATTACAATCTCTTAACCCATATCTACACTTTCTTCCAATGTGAGATTAAAAGCGTTACAATCTCTTAACCTTTAAAGCTTTATATTTTAGTCAAGCCGAATCTAACCATAAGACCAAGATCACACTAGACGTTGAGATTCTAGAGGTGACTCCCTATCATGTAGCACGTTAGGATTTTAGAAGTGACTTCCCACCATGTAACACTTAGTGACTCCTATGGCTCCACCTTTGTGATAGCACAACCCAAATGATAATTAGGCTAGACTATTACTAAAGCTCATTAAGTTAATTAAGAGATTAATTAGTAAAAGAAAAAAAGGCTGAAGTATTATATGAAAGAAAACCTAGCCATTGTGAAACAGAAAAGAAATAAAAGTTCTTCTTCCTCATCTTCTTTAGGGTTAGAAAGCAAAAAAAATTAAGTTAGAGATTCAGAATCAAATACTACAATCAAGTTAATCCCTTAAATGTGAGTATATGACCTTTTTTTATTTAGAAAAAAAATCAAGTTGATTGCTATTATTTGGAGTTAAAATTTTCAAAGTAAAACCAAGAAAAATTATGAAATCTTTCATTAATCTTCATGATCTATTTGGGTAAATTATTGGGCCTTGTTTATTTTATGTTCTTAAGATTTATTGATGATTATTGAATGAAGTTTAAATGCTGAAAGTAAGGATTTGAGTTTTTTTAAAGATTAAAGAAAAAATTTTATTTTTGAATGAGATGTTATGATCTGTAATAATGAATTAAAATAGGATTCTATATTAATAGATTAATTATTGCTATGATTATTATATATCTTTGGAAAGCATGTTGAATCTACTTTCTAATGAAATAAATGAAAGTCGAATCCCAATTTTTTATGAAGAATTATATAATTTTTTTAACTTAAGAATATACAGACTATAAAGTAACAGCATCATGGTTGAATTTAAAAAATTGTCTTAATTTTTATACAAGGAATCACAAATTAAGCTATATATGTTTGGAAAGCTTATTGAGTTTACTTTCCAACGAAACAAGCGAAATTGAATTTGGAGTTTCTTATGAATAAATACATAATTTTTATGAGAAGGTATATAGGCTGGGTGGCAGCAGCATATGATGTGGATTGCAAAAATTATTATAATTAATCCACAAGGAATCACGAGATGGGTCATATATGGTTAGAAAGCTTATCGAGTCTGATTTTTAATGCATTAAAAAGATTTTAATTCTGAGTTGGATATCTCAAAATATGATCATCTTAGTGAAAGTAGTGTAGGCTGCCATAATTAGTTACTTGAGTTAATTCTTGTTTAACTTAATTGTTTTGGTATAAACGGTCTTAAATTTGTTGATTAATT